ATTCATTTAAAGAAAATACAGTATTTCGATCACTTATTTCTACGACATTTGTAGAAAGCGGGTAATCAATTATGCTAGATGCTTTAAATAGTTGCAATATACGATCACAATGTGATTGATTCAATCCGTGGTAATCAGTAATTTCTTGGAACATAGGAATGATAGCCAATGGAAACGAGTCTTGTATCATATTATTGTTATTATCGCTATTTGTAACATAACTTTCAATTTGCATATTCTGTTCATTAGATTCTGTGTTAGTGTTTGAGTAATGAATACAATTTTGTTGTTTAAATTTGCTTTCTCTAATCAACTGTTTTCTCATTTCGTTTTGCTTCACGTATTTTATGAATTCCTATTAAATAATAAATGTTTACTATTTTTATTATAAAGATTACAAACTGACCTTTCTCATTCCCACGGCTAAACACTTTTCGAGTCGACATTTTTGACACAATTTTCTAGGATTTGCTGTAATATTACATTTACCATCAGTTGAGCATTTTAGTTGCTAGAATATCAATAGACAATATACCATGTTTAATTATAAAATTATAAATACAAATTTATTTTATATTAAGGCAGGTACTTTGGTGCCATTACTTGCGATTCGTGTAAATCATTTTTCCGGCGAATGGCCCTTAAAAATATTGTATATACTAAACATATTTTGTTAAACAATTGTAAATTTAACATGGTATATTGTTTTTTAAATAGCAAGTAATATGCCTAAATGATGGTAACTGTAATATAATTGCAAATCCTAGGAAACTGTGTCAAAAATGTCGACTCGAAAAGTGTTTATCCGTGGGAATGAGAAAGGTCAGTTTGTAATCTTTATAATAAAAATAGTAAACATTTATTATTTAATAGGAATTCATAAGAGATGTGAAAGAAAACGAAATGAGAAGACAATTGATTAGAGAAAACAAATTAAAACAACAAAATTGTATTCATTACTCAAATACGAGTCCAGAATCTAATGATTGGTTGAAAACTAGTGATGAAAACAATACTTCCAGTGAATGTCCATCACATCAATCATTAGATATTATTTACAATAACTTTCAAAATGTTTTAACAGATAATGAATTATCACTGGTAACCACAAACGCTTATGACTTGAATCTGTCGGTCATACCTGTTATGAAACCCATCACTGATTATAACAATCAGTTCAATGAATTAGAGGGCAATCGGTTGACTGAACTGTTGGATGCCCTCAAGATTATGATGAACCCAATGGTCAACGTTAATGATAATATGATTATAACAATCAGTTCAATGAATTAGAGGGCAATCGGTTGAGTGAACTCTTGGATGCCCTCAAGATTATGATGAGTCCTGTGGTCAACGTTAATGATAATGAAATAAACGCTTATTCTGTCGATCCCTTCAATTTGATACTTCGGTATCACGAGAATGGTGCCCAAAATACTGTCAAAATGGCTAAACGTTTGAACGCATTTAAATCGCTGTGTGATCATGATCAATTGACTTTAATTAAATACGCGTCCATTGAGATCGTTGTCTTGCGAATAATTTTAAATTTTGACTTTAATGAATTATGCTGCTCATTTAACATAGTATGCATTTGTTGTTAAACATATGTTTGTGTTTTACTTTTATTAATATGTTTATATAATTTATTTATTACCAGAATAATCACAATCATATGATAAAACTCAATGTATTTCGGGACACAAAATATTGCCTGTCCAAAATAAAGCCTCATTATGTTAATGTCAGTACATTCCTGGAAAACATGGCACTTGAATGGGACTCCGATCTTACTATAATTGACCTGGTATTATTGATATAAAAATTTTAATTTTTTAAAAATAATTTTATTGTATATTTATATCAATAGTTAAGTGCTATTATACTATTTAATCCGAATCGACCCAATCTCATTAACAAAACTACCATAAAGTGAGTTATTTTATTTACACTATCATATTATTTATTATATCATAATTATCTATATTAATTTAATTTATTTTCGATACAAATATAGATTACAGCATTATATTTATGTTCATTTACTTCAACGATATCTACAATTGAGATATAGATCGGATGTAGTATCCAGGTGCAAACTTGTAAATTTAATTAAGAAATTAAACTTTTTGCATATTATTAATCAGAAAAACGAAACCATTTTAATGAAAACTGACTTAACATTTGTTCCGCTTTTAAAAGAGTTATGTAATCGCAACTAAAAAATTTGTGTTATTAATAGCTGTCAAGAATCATTGAAATATTATTGTTATGAAATATAATAGTTTACAATTAATTAATTTTCTTTTTATTTATTGTATTATAACTTAATATATTTTTTATAATTTCATAATCAATTTTATAATCAATTCAACAAACTAATAAAAGCATTTAGAAATTATTGTATTTAATGTTATTTAGCAATAACTACACAAATACAAACAACAATTGTAATACCAACAATTCGAATATATAACTAGTATCCAAGGTTATTTATGGGTGTATAATGGAAAATATAATACAATTGAAATAAAATATTGTTGTAAAATAATTGGATATAACCCCAAATAAATTGAATGTATCTTATCAAGGCCGCTCACTGAACTAATATGTTGTAGAGTATATGCCCATAATAATTTTCATTTATGAATTATTGGCAACTCCGATTATTTGATGTTCATAAAGGTATCAAAATATGTACCAAAACCTTACAATTTCATTACAAATAATGTATTTAATTTTGTGATAATTTTTAAAATTATTTTAAATTATATAACAGTAGTATATACACAATACTATATATTAAATATGAGTGTAAATGCCGGTTTTTAATATTATATTTTAATAACATTTTTAAATATAATTTTTATTTTTTTAAATTCTACAATTAATAATATTTAAAAATATAATACTATCAGTATACTATCATATAAAATTAATACTATGGATCATATTTATGTACAGTAATTTCACAATATTATCTAAAATAATTTTTTTGTAACAGTTGTTATTATGAATCTTATCATTAATCCTTTAGGTTTTAGTGTACTCAAGCACTACACCTAAAGTACTGAATATCTTTTAACGGCAATGGTAGATTAGTTGTTAGCATAACAACAATAAAATAATAATTCATAATAGGAAATGTGTTATAAACGGAAAACATTACTCATTTTCAATGAATTTTGGTGGTATTTAGTTTAGCAAGAATTAATTAAATTTATGAATTTGAGTTGTTTTAAATCAGTTTGTTTTAAAAATTTATTTAAATATTTTTTAAAACTTAATATAATAAATATGGATCTTGGTGATAAACTGTGTATGATTTGCGGTGGTAGTAAGTCGGTTCGTAAGTATAATTCTACTCAACCTTGCTAAGATTTATTAATATTTCTATAAGACTAAATTTAATTAAGGCAGGTACTTTGGTGCCATTACTTGCGATTCGTGTAAATCATTTTTCCGGCGAATGGCCCTTAAAAATATTGTAATTACAAAACATATTGTTTGAACTAATTGCAAATTAAACATGGTATATTGTCTATTGATATTCTAGCAACTAAAATGCTCAACTGATGGTAAATGTAATATTACAGCAAATCCTAGAAAATTGTGTCAAAAATGTCGACTCGAAAAGTGTTTAGCCGTAAATTAAACATGGTATATTGTCTATTGATATTCTAGCAACTAAAATGCTCAACTGATGGTAAATGTAATATTACAGTAAATCCTAGAAAATTGTGTCAAAAATGTCGACTCGAAAAGTGTTTAGCCGTGGGAATGAGAAAGGTCAGTTTGTAATCTTTATAATAAAAATAGTAAACATTTATTATTTAATAGGAATTCATAAAAGACGTGAAACAAAACGAAATGAGAAGACAATTGAATAGAGAAAGCAATTTAAAACAACAAAATTGTATTCATTACTCAAATACTAACACAGAATCTAATGAACAGAATATGCAAATTAAAAGTTATGTTACAAATAGCGATAATAACAATAATTTGATACAAGACTCGTTTCCATTGGCTATCATTCCTATGTTCCAAGAAATTACTGATTACCATGGATTGAATCAATCACATTGTGATCGTATATTGCAATTATTTAAAGCATCTAGCATAATTGATTACCCGCTTTCTACAAATGTCGTAGAAATAAGTGATCGAAATACTGTATTTTCTTTAAATGAATTAAACGTAACTGGAGGTGAGCAACATGTCAGAAATATTGTCAAGCTAATAAAAGGGTTGAATGGATTTCAAAATATTTGCCAACATGATCAGTTATTATTAGTACAACATGGTTGTCTTGATTTAATTATATTACGATTTCTGAAATATTTTAATCAGGATACTGAAAGTTATATATTCCCAATGGTATGATGTCTCACTAACGCACTCATATATACAGACACATGCAATAATTTTGAGTTAATTTTAAATTTATTTTAATTAATAGGGTACTGACATGTCTCTTAGCATGCCATTAAAAGTAAGGATACAACAAAGTGAGCAAGCATATTGCTACGTAAAGCAATTCTTAAACAGATTTCTATGCGAATGGCAACGTGATAATATTATTATGGAATTGGTAACTAAAAGAATACAAAAAAGTGAGCAAGCATATTGCTACGTAAAGCAATTCTTAAACAGATTTCTATGCGAATGGCAACGTGATAATATTATTATGGAATTGGTAACTATTTATGAATTATTATTCACCTTTATCAATAATAATTATAAAGTTTTTAAATTAATAGTTAACTGCAATCATGTTATTTAATCCAAATGTACCCAACCTAACCCATAGGAATAACATTATGTATGTAACTAATTATTGTTTATGGATTATATAATATTAATTATACTATAAGTAATTTATATAATATTATGTACAGACTTGAACAGAAAATTTACATATATCTATTAAAGCGATATTTATTAGCCTGGTACCGGTCAGAGTCGGAATCCGAATCAAGACTTTCCAAATTAATGAACCTATTGTTTGAAGTGAAAGTCATAAGCGACCTGGGCAAAATGGATATTAAATCTTATACACAAAATTATGGACCTCTATTTAATGAAATTTCAATATAAATGACTTATTTCAAGCATCCAATATAATAAACTATCCAGTACCTAAAAATGTAGCTAAAATAACTGATCTTAGTAAGTTGGTTGGTATCACAGCACCTGGTTGTGAGGGTCATGTCCAGAATACCCATGGTCTATGGACCCCTTATTAAAGAAATTAAGTAATTACTGTAATATCTTATTAATTAAATATTTTGTGATAGTTTTTTAAATAATTTTAAATTGTATGACAAAAGTAAATGAACAATATTATATTAAATAAGTGTGTGCATAAATGTTATTCAAATTTAAATACATGTTTCTAATATGATTTTCTAATAACATTTATATTTGATATAATTTTTATTTTAAAATTTCACAATTAATAGGACTTTAAAATTCTTTTTAAATAAATATACTATTTTATGAATCCAGTTAAAATACAGTACTAGTAATTGTACAATTACCGTACTTTTTAATAATAGATTTATTGTAACAGTTGCGATCAATACTTTTATCATTAATTGTATAGATTTTACTGCACTTGAATCAAATTAATATATTAGTTATTGCATAATAACTTTTTAAATAATTGATTTAATTGGTGTTAGATTAGTTGTAAGCATAAAAACAATTAATAAATAATTCATTTATGAAATGTGTTATAAAGTAAATTATTTCTCAATTTAATTAAAAGGTGGTATTTAGTTTAGCAAGCATTAATGAAATGGTTTAATTTGAATTTAGATTTCAAATGAGCTCAAGTTTTAAAAATTATATAAATATTCTTTAAAAATTAAATACAATGAATATGAATCTTGGTGATAAGCTGTGTAAGATTTGCGGTGGAACCAAGTTAGTTGGTAAGTATAATTCTATTAAACCATGCTACGTTTATTAAATATATTAATTTATTTTATTTATAATTATAAATTTAATTTATATTAAGGCAGGTACTTTGGTGCCATTACTTGCGATTCATGTAAATCATTTTTCCGGCGAATGGCCCTTAAAAATATTGTAAATACTAAACATATTGTTTGAAACAATTGTAAATTAAACATGGTATATTGTTTGTCAATAGCAAGTAATATGTATAAATGATGGT